TAGGATGGATTGCGTGTTCTGGGGCGACGTACTTCTGTACAAGGAAGTCGTATCATGCGCAGCAGCAGTCAGACTCACCGATCGGCTCTGAACTTTCTCGGTTTAATGTTTTTATACATCCAGGCATAAATAATCATTTGCGCTTTAATCCCGTACCCTTGTGAAACCAAGCACCACATGCGTAGTCATCACGCCGCTCAGACCTTGATTTAAACGAATCAATCAAAACCCTTCAGACAGTAATCAGAGTTTTGTAATTGCAGAATGTGAGCCGGCTAATCGGAGATTCGTTGCACACGATGCATGCTCCTGTCCACAAGGTTTCTGAGGGAGCTAGAGAGTCTGACTAAGTAATATCACCTTTCTGAGTTTAGAGCGTGGACATATACTTTGATCCTATGAAAAAAGTTTTGGATGAAATTTGAAGAGGCCCGTGATCGGCAGGGCCGGCCTTCATTAATAACCACTTTGTGGGTGTCTGACACACCCTGCCACGTACGAAATATTGCCGGTGCAAAGTAAAAGATACACAATGTGCACGGAAATGCAAGGCATGATATAAGGACGATGGATCATTGGTTTACTGCATCTTCCGGGTCCAGTCTTGGCTGGCCCTCAGGTGGGATCATAGCTGTCAACTTGCTTGAAGGTGGACCGATCATGAAGCCCGGATCTACGGGGCCAAGTAATCTTTTATGATCTCATGATAGTTGATTTGCTAACACCCAACTCTTTTTCACACAGCTTGGTAACGTCACTAACGTACCAAGCGCCATTTTTGAATAAAATATTTCTCATCATTTGAGCTATATACACGTAAGGCTATACCCAAACCAATGCAGGTGGAAACCACCCTCATCAGAGTTTGATATTTCTCCACTTTCACTTCATAAGATCTAGGCGCCCAGATGGCCGAGGATTGCTCCCCCTACACATACACGAGGCCGGCCGCTATTTAACCCTACTCGCCAATCGAAAATTCTATGCGAGTCTGGAACTTGCCGAGAAACGGGTTATGAGAGGGTCCAGTTTTTTTTTGCTCATTAAATCTATTAATCGTTGAAAGGTGTACGTTAGCGCAGCAGTGTGTCGTCAGAGCCCCTCATGATCGATCACCATCCCCATCATCATTGTGCCCCCCGGGTGGCGGATGGTTAACAGCGTCCCTGTGTGGTGCGTCAGGTGTAAGGAAGGCGTCCAAAGGACTTCGTTTCGGTTTTCTTCTGAGCTTCGATTCCCTCGTTCCAAACAGCGAATGGTCAGCGACCCATACGTGACCTGACCCTGGCGGCTGCATGGGCGTAGAGAGCTCGCCTCTTATAGGAGTCTGAATTGATTCGCGTTTAGCGCAACATGAACACCGTGTTCCATGTCCATACGTATCGCAAGCAGATATGAGGTAGATGTAAGCGGGGGATTCATAGAGTACGTACCCGAGCTGTTCAAATATACGGTCGACGCCCTCTGTACGCGCGCGCGCCCGTGTGCAGACGACACCAAGAGACAGAGAGGAAGAGCATGGGCTGACGTTACGTTTGGTACTCTGGCAGGTGCTGGCGAACAACCGACCTGGTCGTCGGACATGGACCATATCCGAGCTTGCTGTGCAGAAATGTCTTATCGAACCAGATAAGCGTCCTAATAATATCCTACATGTATCGAGTAGGATTTCTGTTCGGTGAGGATGGCTGTAACAAGGATGGGTTGATAACTGGTAGGAGGAAGCCAATATCCTGTACGGCAAACTCCAGCGTGCGACGTGCTTGACAATTAATGGATCATTTGAAGAACCACTCCACAAAAGCAAATTATTATTATGATTGCTGATGTGATCTGATGCGGGGAGCAACAGCTGAATGTCGTCCGACGACACGGCCAATAAAGGGCTTGAATTTATCGAAATCGAGCGCGGACGAAACACATCCTCTTGCGCACCTTTTTCCCTTTCAGTCCCCCCTTCCTCCCCATACTCCGATTCACTTTTTACACTATTAACTCGTGGACGTGACGGCAGCGGATGCTTTGTTCTTTATAGTCTGTTGTGACAGTTTTGGCACTTGCTCTCGTCCGCCGTTCGATAGAGAGTAGGAGTGTATCTTGTTGCGCTATACCGCAAATGTCTGTTACCCCATCCGGTCATAAACCTTTTCTCTTCTTCTACTGTCGTCCCATTCTATGTTCCGCGACGCACACAATGAAAAGTGCGGTCGATCATCAAGACCGCAGGATGTAACAATCGCCCTGTGGCGTCTCCTGGCAGCTCCCTTCCGGCGGTATAGTGTGTAAGTGTTGGGCATACTGAACAGGGACGGTAACGGTATCACCTATACATCCTGTTACAGATTGATGCGTTCTTCGCTCGGTGTTGCAGAAAACTAGATCAAAAAAAGCATGGCCCTCCCTTTCCGCCCGCGGAGGTTGTCCCCTCGACACGACGTACGAGTTTTTTGTTCTGTCGTTGTGGTGTGAGTTTGTGTGGAACCCTCGAGGGCGGAGAACCCCGTGTAAGGGATACTATTACCTTTTTTTTTTTTGCCAGCGAAATATCTGTGTTGTCGTTGTTGTTTAGAGGGTCGCATAGTGATGATGTGCAAGGTTGAAAGAAAAGAGTTGGATGATTTGCATAGAGGGCTGAGAAGAAGGTTCCTTGGTTTTGGGTAACCGCGTCCTCGTTCGCCCGTCCATCACCTTGGCTATTCCTATCTAAACCCCGATATCCCCAATGAACAGGAGCAGCACTGGCTCTTTCCCAAAAATGTGGCGTGTCTTCGCAATGCGATTCCCTGTTTCAAAAGGGGATTAGGGCGTATCAGAGCATCACATACAGAAGTTGCGCCGCTAACCGAGCCATCAAAGAATCTGTTCACTATTTCTATAGGTCTCAATTTCCACTCGCCAACAGCCGAAAGAGCAAAGACGGGTTCTTGTGCCCCCCTAAAGATGCTGTATTGTGGAGGTGTTGCTGCATTAGGCCATCAAAGCAAGAAGCACGGAGCAAAGAGTTTCCTGTAAAGTCGAGTAATACTTAGATACGCCCATCCTCCTCGTTTTTTGCCATTGTTCTTTGTTCGTGCCCAGACGTGTTGCGGTTGGTGATGCGGCGACTCTGGTCAGGGGAGATGGAGAGAGGAGCGCAACCATTTTTTTGGACAGGAGGCCGGCTGTCAGCTTGTCATTCTATAGACGGTCCTCAGCCCAATCACGGTCTCCCAGTCAATTTCAAAATGGCCGGAACCGAAGAATGGGCAATTCATTCCCCGAATTTTTATTCTGTTTCTGCGAGTAAATAGTACCGTTATATGGCTAAATTAATGTGAAAATAAAATAATTTATCCAGAAATAATTGCCTCTCTTCCTCTGCAACTTCTTAAGCGTGACCTTGAATCTTCTGTAGCCTATATAAGCTGATCGTCTGCTCTGGTTCCACGCAAAGCGGTCCCTTTACAGACAGC